TCCACATGGATAACCTGCACCGAACAATAGCAGAACGGCACAATATAGAATCAGTGTTAATCGTGTTTTTTAGGACAGGAATCGAGCAAAATCTTGCATTTAGGCAAATAGAATCAGTGTTAATCGTGTTTTTAGGACATGCGTCGAGCAAAATCTTGCATATAGGCAAAATATGATCAGTGCCAATCGTGCTTTTAGGACACTAGTCGAGCAAAGTTGTGCATTTAGGCAAATAGAATTAGTGTAATCGTGTTTTTCGGACACGAGTCAGAGCAAAATCTTGCATTTAGGCAAATAGAATAGTGTTAATCGTGCTTTTAGGACATGAGTCGAGCAAATCCTGTATTTAGGCAAAAAACAATCACTGTTAATCGTGTTTTTATGACACGAGTCGAGCAAAATCTTGCATTTAGGGCAAAAGGTTTACCGTTTTATTAGGATCATACGATTTATGAGCAGCGGCTAACATGCTTTCGAATAGCGAACACGACTTGATCCCGATTAGAACAACTTGCTTCCGAGAAGGAATACTTAACATGTCTGCACCACAGCACATTAGGGGCACAGCCATGGCAGTTTCATTCAGCCTCTTCTCAAAGACCGACTGTACAGTCAAACAAATGGAAAGCGGTAATTTTATTTTCCTTACCCAATTAGGCGAAAAAATGAAATCATCAAACTACAAAAAGGCAATAGATTTTTTTTTTTAAAACGAATATAAGCCGGTATTTTGTGACCATAAAGGCTACATTTAGTAAACTAGATGATAAGCTAGCTTACAACTTTTAAGTCTATGTCTAGTAGCCAAATAAACTAGCTTATAGCTTTTTTTGTTAGCTTATAAGTATCATGTATTCAAATATAATCTATAAGCTCAAAAATCACTTATAAGCTATAAGTTAGCTTATCAGCTAACTTATGTTTACCAAACATAGCCTAAGTGAATTTCGAGCTGCAGTTAGCAGTTAGCTAGCAGTTAGCTCTAAGGGTGTGTTTGGTAAACCTAGCTGATAAGCTAGCTGATAGCTTATAAGCTAGCTGGTAGTTGTAAGCTATAAGCTAGCTTATAGCTTATAATTTATAGCTGAAAAGCTAGCTTATATGATAAAAGTGTTTGGTAAAACTAGCTTATAAGCTAGTTGAAATAAAAAAGTCAACTAGCTTATTTTGAAACGCTACCTAAACAAGCTTATCAAATAAGCTCGAGCTTTTTAAATAAGCTCGTCCTACCAAACGGGGCTTATTTGATACAGAAAGCTTATAAGCTAACCAAATAAGCTATAACCTAGCTTATTATACGTGTCAAACACACCCTAAGTATAACGTATGGCTGAAAGGCTAGCTTATTATGATAAAAATGTTTGCTAAAATTAGCTGCTGAAATAAAAATTTCAACGGGCTTATTACGAGATAAGCTCGAGCTTTAAAAAATAAGTCATCCTACCATACCAAACCAAACCATGCTTATTTGAATAATTTGAGTGCGGGAAGCTTATAAACTAATCAAATAAACTACAAGCTAACTTATATGCTTACCAAAAACAGGCAAAACAGTTAAGTTCACAACAGAACATACCAAAAGAAGTTCAGCATTTCTTCTGTAATGATTCGAACCGGTGCTAACCAAGGAAGCCAACCGTACTAAATTGATCAACGAGACCGAATTTCCAGAAGGTTCCGCGCCATCATGGTCTTCTTTCACGCGGAGGAGAACAGAAGGATCCTCACCAGGGGTATTGAAATATCCTCCCCCTTCTTTATCTAGAAACAGCTCGTCCTTTTTTTCCACAAAATAAATATTCACCATAAAAAACAATAATAATAATAATAAATAAATAAAATAAAATAAAAAAATTTGTAATGAATTTCACTGGAAACATTTAACATGATATTGTGTTTGCCAACCTGTATATGTTGTAGTTCAATAGCCCAAGATAGCCAAGATATAGAACTGCCGAATTCATAAAGGTCTAAAACAGCCGATATCAGAAAGGCATAATCGTCAAGAAAGCCGGGTGCTTTTGAAGGCCCGTTTCTGAAGCTGTGCTTCAGTTTTTGTGTCTGCTCGTCGTAAAGATTTTTCCGGATAAAACCAGCTGCTTTCTCCGCAACTTCCATGTACTCTTTTGGCTGAGTGAGAAAAAAAAAAAATATTATTATTATTATAAAATAAAAAAGGCGACAGCTTAATTCTTTAACAAAGATAATAAAGAAATCTATTACATGAGTTCCGACAACCGGAAAATAGAATTGAGTGCCTTCTGGTTCACCATTCAGAATTTGAGATGCCCTTGCAAAAGAAGATATTGCAAGTCCATTCCAAGATACAATAACCTGGAACAATTGCATTTTTTTTTAACCATCAGACGAGCGAAAACCGAATCATCACTTGAATTGTTTTTTAGAGTAACATATGAATTTCAATACAATTTACCTTGTCATCCAAATGTGGCCTCGGACGTTTTGATCTCACATCAAAAAGCTTCTGTTTACATATCCCCAATATCTTCAGATACTCCACAACCGACATACCTAATTTCGAGGCCATTGCAGAAGTACTTATTCGCTCGATCAGCACATTCTTACCCTTGAACTCATTGTGGGGATCACTCATTCTTGACAAATCACAATTGCCAGATGGTTTTACGTAATAATGCTCCTTAAACAGCATTGCATTCTCTCCAAGTATGTCATCAACCTATTCAAATAACCATATAAATCAAATCCCCTTTTTTCACTCACCCCCAAAAAAAAAAAAGTACCTCTTTGCTAGTCCAAATATAAAAGGCACCCTCTTTTTTCCTAGAGGCACCTTCGAACTCTGCACTATCAGCATCCTCGGCCGAAAATATCTCACCGCTAGGGCCGATCATCTCTCTCCTCAAATAATCGAGAATGCCCCGAGCCATGCTCGAATATAAAACGTCTTTGGTGATGGCAAATACATCGAGATAAACATTAACTAGTTGCCCTTGGTCGTATAGCATCTTCTCAAAGTGTGGCACTGCAAAAAAGCATATGCCAAGACAAGTAAAGAACAATTGACTCAACAACAACAATTATAATACTCAAAAACAAAAAGAACATTAAAGATTTAGAAAGAACTAAAAAAAATAAGGAAAACAAAAATCGTCCCTAACCGTGCCAACATTCATCGACGCTATATCTGTGAAAACCACCACCAATATGATCGTGTATTCCACCCCTTGCCATGGACTGTAAGGTTAGGATAACCATATTTAGGTCTTCTTTTGCCTCGCTCATCATGCGATTCTCGTTTAGTTTCTTTGAATGGTAAAGCATAAGCTGGATTTCGACCGGTCTCGGAAATTTCGGCGCAGACCCAAATCCACCGTATTTCGAGTCATAACTGTCGGCAAGCTACCGGAAAAATCGGAAGACAGAAAGTTATGTGCTAGAGAGTACAGAGTAGTGGTGTTGAGAATTGTAATTTTACTTATTTTTGCGAACTCCTAGAGATAAAAAAGACCTTAATAAGGAAAAAAGGATCAAAACTTCACTGTAACCTCAAATTTAAATAAACAGTGTTACAAGTAATGATAATAACAAAAATAGAAATAAACAAATCATAAATGCCAATTAAAATACTAATAGATTTAAAAAAAAAATATATATATATATATAGATATATCTGATGGAAGATTCTACCTGTTCAGTACATTTTTGCAATGCCTTCTGGGGAAGTCCTTGAGGAACCTTATTGGAGCTTGCTGTAGCTGATAAGGCTTCTGAAAGCTGTTCGATTGCAAATGTCCCACTTTGGACCAAAGCATCCTTCTTAGTGTCCCATGCTTCTTTAACCCTCCTATAACGTAATTATCTTCTGTGTTACGTGCCCCGAAATAGAAACACCTTGCCGAAAAAGGAAAAGTGAAAAGATAATGTCCGTCATTCCTAACGTTTAGAGCTACCTAAGAACTGTTTTGAAGCCTGGCCTGCCAAATTTATCATCTGGAGGAAAATAAGTGCCACCCATCAAAGGCTTCAGATCGGGAGAAAGGAAGACACTAAGTGGCCATCCACCACCACCGTACAATGCTTGTACATAGGTCATGTATACCTGGTCAAATAACGAAAAACCTAAGAATTGCGAAAAATATTCAGAAAAGAAAAAATGAAAGAGGAAAACAAATAGAAAAGAAAAGAAGGATTTGTCGATCATAAACAACTCATATTCACATTCCAACCCAGGGGACTCCATTGGTTTACAATTTAGAGAATTTGATTGACCATTTCAGGTACCATTTACGACATCAACACTCGCAAATCCAGTTACACCCCCAACAGAAAATAAGAGAATCGAAACTTTAAGCTGATCATTTAAACTACAATAAGAGTTCAGACCTCCCTGTTAAGAGTTAAAGCTAAGATAAATTGCATTCATGAATGTGAACAACCTCAAGTAAACAAAATATAAGTTCTTGAACAAAAAAACCAACCAAGCCTAACAACAAGCTGGCCAATACCTTATCTACATCTGGCCTTTCTTCTCTGTCCACCTGTCAAAAAACACAGTCAAAAAACACATTCTAAGATCACATACCAAAAACTGCAAAAACAAGAAGCAATTCTCCAAGAAGTTTGAGGACAACTCACCTTGATACTAACAAACCAATCATTGAGTAACTTGGCAACCTCTTCATCCTCAAAAGATTCCACTTCCATCACATGACACCTTAATTTACCCACACAAAACCAACCAATTACACAAACATTCAAATGCATGTGCAGCACAATCGCTCAAGACGAAGATGAAAAAGATACGAATACAGATCATACCAGTGACACGTGCTGTACCCAACTTCAAATGCAAGAAACATCAACCAAAAAAAAAAAAAAAATGTGTCAGCTAGATAAAAATAGGAAAAACAAGCATCATAGTACAAAACAAATAGAAGAAAACATGGTATACTTGACAGGAAAATAGGCACATCCCTTTTGCGTGCTTCGGAAAAGGCCTCCTCCCCCCATGGATACCAATCCACCTATTTACAAAGCAAAACAAACAAACTAAACACGATATCTTAATCAGCAAAGTCTCTGTCGATGGGCACTAAAATTGGCGAAACAATTTAATTACGGGATTGTGGGCGTGTTGAAGAAGGTAAGGGCTATGCTCCGCCGCAAGACGGTTAGAGTGCGTGGGCGTCCCAGACGACGCCGTGCCGGGAGACCCATCGTCAGCCATAGCGTAGAC